TCTTCGCCGTGTTTTGCCTACTGAAACAATTTTTGTTTGCTTCTCATCGAATAAAGTTTATTTCGAGCGTTCTTTCAATGGTTCAATAGCTACAGACACTGCTCAACTTCAGTTAAAGTTTATATGCTTTTCTTTTGATATCGCTTGCTTTCGTGATCAAACTGTAAGGCTGATAGAATATAAAAAAATATTCCAATTACATATATTGGATGATTGCATAAGTTCGTGCCCGATTTTCATAGATGGCATTACTTCACTTTGCCCTATGAATTTTCTCTTTGCTTTCGTTCGGTCCCCCTGTTTCTTTGCTTGTTCTTCTTTCGTGATAATCTCGACGCGCTTCGATCTTCGCCGTGTTTTGCCTACTGAAACAATTTTTGTTTGCTTCTCATCGAATAAAGTTTATTTCGAGCGTTCTTTCAATGGTTCAATAGCTACAGACACTGCTCAACTTCAGTTAAAGTTTATATGCTTTTCTTTTGATATCGCTTGCTTTCGTGATCAAACTGTAAGGCTGATAGAATATAAAAAAAATATTCCAATTACATATATATAGCGCGAAATTATTATTTGCTTCTGCCTTTATTCGCGATATTAATCACTAATTGCCGAGAAATCTTTTTTTACTTTAAAAATTAGTTTCTCTATAGATTTTTGTAACTATTAAACAATTTTATAAAATTTGTATTTAAAGATATCTGTCTTATTCCACTTTATCGTGGCACTGCTTTATCGTGGCTTTATCGTGACTTCTTGTAGCAAACATTTATATAGCGAAAGTTAATGAAAGAGGTATAAGAGGCACTTCTACATGATTCCAGTAACGATATTTTATTATAACACAATAAAATAATATAAACTTTCGCAAAGTTAGATTAACGACAACAAAGCGTAATAAGGATGCGGAGGTGGTGTCAGAGCTTTCGTGACTTTACTTTATTTTATCACAATTTCTCCTCTTCCCTGCGAGCTCAAATACGTTCGCACATTTCTCTTCGTAACTTTGTCCTCTCGTTGATTTCATGTTCAGTTTTTACCATGCTTACCAAAAAAATGCTTACAGACATTAATTTTTCAATTTTCAAAATCGACTTTATCGAAAAATATTTTATTCCATATATATTATATATATATATACATGGAAACATTATTTTTCAGCTTGTATTATCCACTATAAAAGATTTGTGTGTAAAAATTTCTTCATATAAACATAAGTTTTTATATCAAGGGGTGACGTTAACTTGACGTAAAAGTGGCGACATATTCTCGCTCAATCTTGTATATCGTCATGCGTCGCATAACATATCGTACGCGATAGTAATAACGTAACTAAACTTTTCTATATAGCATCTGTCATTGGGTACGAATATTTTCGAGTATTATGTTCGATATCGAGATTTATTGTTAGATCCTCTCATAGATATATTTTATCGGTTTTCTCTTCGCACATTTTACCTCAGTTCAATCTGTTTTCCTCATTCGCTTTTCCTCCAGCGAATTTCCCATTCTGTTATGGCACTGGCTATTTCTCGGCGTACACAAACTCTTCTTTGTACGAAGTGGATAGAAAGTATTCACGGAGCTCTTTCTGAAATATGAGTATTCTGAGACGTATGCCGTCGATTTTTTACCACTCCCTCGCGGTTTCTTTGTCAGAGATTTTACACCATACAAACTTGTGAATAATGCTCGTGTGTGCAAATTGAAAGAACGAATCAACGACAGCTAATCGACAAAATCAGCATTTAAATTTATATTGAATGCTTGATGCACGTGTGAAAAGAAATGACATAATATCCAAATAATTTATAAATAATTATTAAATAAATATCAATCATTCGTTTAGCCATTTTATAATGACCAGTAATTAAAAAAAAAAAAATAGTATTATCTTCTGTATACTTTATAATCTATAAGTTTATATCGGCTTGATCTTAATAGATCTTAATAAAATCTTGCAAAGTTCGCTTATATGTCATACATTTCATATCATGACCGAGTATCACGATAATCCGTCTACCTAGAAGACAGTAATCAGGATTATTTCCTCGCTGAGTTTAATCCCGGGTCTGCGGCATTTTATCTTTAGGTGCCGCGTTTATTACTAAAATCTCTAGATAATAGATGAGGGATGACAAAGGAAATTATTTTGGTTTTATTACGATCATCCTTCTCTCTTCAAACAACTTTATATATTTTTAAAAAATATATGATATTCACGCGATATAATATTATATATAATAATATATCAATATGTACGTGGTATACAACAAATATGTAATAATACAGAAAATATTATCATTTATTTAACCGGTTATCCCAATTTTCATATAAATTTAACGCAAACTCCAACATCCACTCGGTCTTTCAATTGACACGCAAACAGCACACATGCACAATGCGTGCTAACTACCATGTGTTAATTTTCATTGAAAAATATTCTGCGGTACAATCGCGCCGATCGCTTTTTTACCGAAAGCGACATGTTTCGCCAATTACGCGACAGCGATCATCTGCAACGCGGGATCCGCGAAATCACACGTATCGCGAAATACCCATTGTCGACAGAACGATCAATTGATGACGTAGACATAGAGCACTACAATTTCTGTTTCCGAGCTTGGCGTACGTACCATCGTATAACGAACGTTCTTTCTAGAGAATCGGAATATAAATTCCGTTTACTGTGCCAAACGCGCCGTGAAAAAGTCCCGAATTCTCAACGGACTCGTAAACAGAGTCTATACGTTTCAAAAGAAAGTGATGAAAAAGTATGCGAGAGGCTTCTTATCCGTACCGAAAAGATGTTCACCCTTTTTCGCTTTTCTTAATATCAGCACTTTGATATCATTGTTTTATCTAAAATTAGCGATTTACCCATGCCTTACTTTTGCGGTCAAGATATCTGCAATTATTATATTCATGCGCGCATAAAAAGTGCTTTTAAAAGATTACTTATTTTTAATTGCTTATTAGTCGTAAACATTATTATTTTAATATTGTATTTAACTCAAGAAACTCGTCGACAAAACTATAATTAATATATTTCTTCCTCCCCCTCCCTCCCTCGTATAAACAATAGTAAACGCGTTAAAGACGTAGAGTAGTATTATTAATGAGTATTGGCCTGCTAAATGAGCTTCCTGAAGAAAATGGGTCATCATGGTATAAATCTAAATTCATATCTCCCGCATGGCTGAGAATGCGGAAATAGTTACATAGAAGATCCTTATAAATTTACATAGTCAAGTACATATGCACCATCAACTCGGATAAGCAATAGCAACATAACACAATATATATACACACACGCACATGTATAACCGTATGTATACAATCGACATAAAATATGCGTGACTCGCATTTGCGTTACAGCACATGCATATATATATAAACATAAACACGCGCATAAAACATGCACAGAATATCCATAATCAATTACATGCAAAGAGTGTTGATATTTTAATTATTAATTATTGCAATATAAAAATATATGTGATTAATATTTAATATACAAATTTTTTCCTCTTTTTGCAATTCCATATCCTTTACGTTTCCGGAGACATAAAAATGTATAAAAAGATCCATAGACGATAACTTACTTAAGCCTGGAACATCCTATGGATGTAGATACGCGACGCACAGGATATACGCACAGTCGATATACGATGTTCGATTTACAGTTTGTCACGTGTGTACGTGTGTGTGTGTGTGTGTGACAACGTGCGCTTTGCATAAATATATATACGCACGTAGTGTACGCATGTGTCCCTATGCACGCGCGCATGCATACGAGATGCATCTCTGTTCGATTTCGCGCTTTAGTTTGCAGTTTGTCATATGTCGACGTGCACTTTGCATAAATATACGAAGCGTGCAAATATATGAGACGGGACGAAAAAAAAGGTCTCGAGCATCGTGAGAACGCTCGGTTGATTTTCGCGCGATTATGCATGCGTGGCCACAGCTTTATATGGAAGGTATACAAATGGATTCATATATTCAGGTAAAATATATACAAGAAATATGTATATATTTTAATTTATAAAACACTTATCCAACAATTTGTAGAGGGTGCGTTCTAAATCATGGATATCAAAAATTTTCTTTTGCAAAAATATATCGAGATATACGCAGAATAAAATCTTTTCGTATGAGACTTTTCTCGAGAAAATTGATTCTAAGAATTGTAAAATTAATAACATTAATTTTTTTAAGCTTGAATGATTTCCACGACTTTTAAACGATAAAATTTAAATAGTGAGGAAAAAATAGCAGAACTATGATAATATGAGTCTCTTTATACACACACGCACACACACACTTTTCCGTTTATAGATTTTTTTATAGTGACATATCGATCGCATACAAACTCACAACATATTATCAACGATTGATCGAGGAAAATAGTTCGCAAATTTTTCAAAGTATTCTTTTACATTTTCTCAAGTATCTACTAGTTTGGAAAGTATCATATACGAGGATGGCGGATTTCAACTAGGCCTCTGCAATATCCGTAACTTTTTGAAATTCGAACTTTAGTCGGTCCGGAACTTTCCGATACTAGTTACCACAAAGTTTCTAGAAACTCCCAAACAAGTACCTTACCATACTGTAATAATTGTAAATTTGCTGGAAACCAATATGTGCCTTTTTAAAACGAAACTGATTCATTTCTATATGGCTATTTAATCATATATGTATATGTAATCTATTATATAGAAAATAAAAAAAAGATAGTATTTATTATTGTAGCTAGGAAAAGATATATAGATATGGAAAAAAAAATATTATAGCAAGACAATTCAAAATTATGGTTGCATCCACAAATATTCTAGATACTTATAGAATATAATTTATAATTTTTGCGTATATAATATATATTTCGCAAAGAAATTATATATCTCTAATTATTTTTTTGTCGTCAACTTTAAGTCGTCTACATATTGCTTTCCCATTAATAATTTTTCTTAATCGCTATTTTCTCTGTTTGTTTATAGAAGAAGAGTGGAATCCAGATGGCAAGGGGCGACAGTCCAATGATACCGGTGAGTTTCAATGTCTTATACAAATTTATTCGCAAATGCAGTCCGGAATTCAGCCTCTCTTTTTTTTCTGCTGCTTGCTTTAGTTAATTTAATTGTATGTATTATATCATTGGTTGTTAATTAATTCCATTTTTATTTTTTCGATAATTTTCAACTGACAATTAAGAGAAAAAAAAATGAGATTTTTAAGTATGTTCCATAAGATGTAAAAAATTCGGCCGGTTAAACCGAATAAATGACAAATATGCTAATAAGATTATTCAATCAGCGTAAAAATGTGAGGAATTTTGCCATCGGCTTTTCTTGCATCAAAGTAGCTAAATTTGTAGCCACACAAATGGCCATCTATTTGACTTCCTAGTCATTATTGTCTCACGAGATCGACTATTCCATGAAAGGATTATCCAGATTGCATTGCCTGCAATCGCCTTTGGCTCCCTCCTTTCCTCTCTTTCGCTCTCGCCTCCTCCTTGGCCTTTAAGTAGACGCATTACGAGCTTAACTTAACCCTCGGAATTAGCGAGGTCTCAATCAGGTTTCCCGAGTTCAAGTTTCACCCTCTCCCTCCGTTTATTCTCTCAAGTGACTGCACCTTTTTCCCTCTCCCCTTCCTCCGTTTGTAGGCCATGAAATTGATACGCGCCGAGCCTCTCGTCTTTATCTACGAGCCCACCCTGCTGCAACTACAGCAGATTCACGGCACAAAGTGATCGCCTTACAAGGAAACGCTCCAAGTTATGCCGAGTATTTTTAACTTGGAACTAAAACAGATACAATCACGTATACACACGAATAAAGAATATTTTGATACATATTTTTTCTTTATTTTTCGCTAAACGTGAAAATTTTTATCACATAATTATCTTTTCTGTATCTACACACATATTTTATAATCTATTCTATTTTAGTGTTAATGCAAAACGACATGACGATAAAATTGCAATAGAGATGATAAAAATTCTCCTAATTGAATACGCTCACCAAAAAAAAAAATATTCTATTCAAAAATAACTTTGCATATGCGCACGCATGCATCGATTACATTAATTTCTCATATAAATCATATAATGATAATGTAAAGCAATCGTTGAAATATATTACATTACGTTATATAACGATGCATATTTTTATCTCGATAATCTTTTGTAACTTAATACACCTTTGTTTTATTTATTGTCTTCATTTGTGACTTTAAAATGATCCATAAAAAACTATCCTTTTGATACAGTCGATGCATCACACTGATATCAGGATAAAAGATTGTAAGATTAATTACGATATAAAAAGAATAAATATTATATATTTACAAACTGAATATAAAATTTCTTTTTAAAGCGATTCGAACGTAGAAATGTTATTTGAAGTAATGCTTTATCCGAATTTTGTATCTTCGCTCTTGCAAAATTTCTTTTTTCAACCCTCGAAAATTGTTTCGCGAACCGGGGATAATTCCCCGTGGGGTAAAACTCCGCGGATAACCCATCGACGTACCAGCTCCCGACGATGATAATCTTCGCCTTCATAGGAATCGACGTCGTCGAGATGGCGTGCAGAGTCCGACGCCGACGCCGACGCCGACGTCGGCGTCGTCAAATCGACGCGCCTCTGACGAACACCTCGCGCAACTTGATTCTTTTAAAAAGGACATTTCACCACACCCTATTATCAGTTTTACATTGATGAGACATCAAAAGAATTTTTTTATTAGCGAAAAGTGAGGAGTAACCAGTCATATTGTGATAAAATCTCTTTTTTTTTTGCCATGTATATAAATAATATTATCGTAAGATGATCGTTGTTGAAATAAGCAAGCAATTTCTGGTTTTATAATTAGAATAATTTTTACGAGACAATGCAGATAAACAGGGCTTCAATTATACTTTTATTCCTTCTTTAAAATAGGTATATATATCAGATCTATGCTGAATAATTTTTTATGTATTGTAATAATAATATTTCCATTAATAAAAAACCACATTTTATATAATTGTATCTTTCCAATCAATAATTTAAAAAAAATATTACGTAATATGAAATCTACAATTATCACATCGTGATACGATTAAAAAATTGTTATATGCATGACTAATTCTAATTAAAACAGAACGCAACATTCGTTACCTTCTCGCTACAAAATCGATTCGACGATAATACGATAAACTCATTTTCCGTTTCCCGTACGCCCCCGCAACACGATTGGATGAACATTCAAATTCGCGCAGCGACGCCAAATGCAATTAATCCAATCGATACAGAGCTTACTTTCTTCAATAATAGCTTAATCATTCAATCTTAAACACAACTGTCTAAGAAATGTTAAAAGTGCAACTGATATTTTTTAAATATATTAAAAGTGAAGTAATTCTTTTAAGAGAAATAAATAACTTTCACATAGAAGAAATATACATCATAAATCTTTTTAGAAACTGTTTGAGAAAATTATTTTAAGAATAATATTCATTTTTTTACAACAGGTCTGCTACCTTTCGTTGGAATAAATTAATGCACACGTGAAAATAATATGTTTATGTATGGCTATACAACTTACCCAATTCTTACTACTTAAAATTGTTTTTGGGATAAAGTAAAGGGTTGAACAGCCTTTCGGGTCAAGGGTTAAACCGTCGACCGTCGATGTGAACGACGAGAACATGCCGCCACCAAACAGCTTATCGCCTTATCGCTTGTGCAAGCACGATGATAAAGAAGAGACCGCCGTGAGCTCGCCTCCCCCACTTTCTCTCCCACTATTCGGCCCCCACAAAGCGGCGACGCGGCGCGGATTCTCCGTCAACTAATATTGATTATAAAACCGGCGGCAGTGGCGGCGGCGGCGGAGGTGGTGGTGGTGGTGGTGGCGGTGGCGGCGGCGGCGATGGCGACGGTTTCTTTGCTTCCTTTTTTTTCTTTTGCCCACCGAAGCCACGGGCGGTAGTACACGCGCACGAGACACAATACGCCCGTAGTGTGCGTCGTGGCGGCGGCGGCGGCGGTGGCGGCGGTAGCGACAGCGGCAACGACGGCGGATTACTCTCGTCAAGAGTTACCGGAGGTATGACCGGTTAGCTCGCGGTGAAGTGAATAAAGGCCTCATCAGGTCAGACATATAGCGAAGAGTCTCCGTCTCGTCTGTGATCTACTCGTTTCGTCGTGCGTCGCGTCCCGTTTTCGCGTCCGCTCCGGAAACCCGCGTACGGACACTCGCGTACAGCAACGTCTCCGACCTGAGAGAGGGTGCATTGACTCCGGACGCAATGTAAGTAAACGGAAGTAATATCGTGGTACCCCACGCGCGAATTCTTAAAGCAACGCAACGATTTATCTTTTACTCTCTTCTCGTCAATGGTTTTCATTATGAAATTTCCCGATTGTTTCGACATTTTTGATAAGTGTGCTTTTTCGAACAGAAAAGACTAGACAATGAAAGATTAATTCGTGAAAAACGTATAGGCTTTTGAGAACTATAGTAGTCATTATGTCTTTCGTATATCTTTTTTGCGAGAGTCTTATGTAAAAATGAATTTTCTTTGAATAATATGTGAATGAGTTGATATTTTATAATATCAGTTCAGTATTATATTTTAGTGAAAAATAATTTAATGTGAATTAATTAGCTGTGTGTATAGAAAGTATAGTTCTGTATTATAGAATGATTTAATTTTCAAAATATAATATATTAAGTCATGTAAAAAGAAAGAAAGAGAGAGAGAGAGAGAGAGAGAGAAAGAGAGATAGGACCTTTTATCAAACATTAAATATTGTACAAATATAAAATGTAAAATGTATTAAAAGTCTAATAATTGTTTGACGCAATTCGTTGTACATATTATTAGAATTTATCGATATCTTATGTTAGAAATGCAATATTTCGAGATAAATAGACGTCGTGATATCGACATTTGAAGAGACTGAGACAAGATAGCACATTTGATATTAATGGAATGTTTAAAGTTTAAAACTCTCTACTCTTGGATACTTACTCCTTGTTGAACTTTTTTCTGCTGACTTATCTTTTCAAAAGAATTTCATCAGTAATCTACAGAGATCGTTGACACCTCGTGAATCATAGCGGACTGCAGTTACACTTTTACGTCAACTGAAACAGAAGAAATATTATTTTCATTACCATGACATGAAAAATAAAATACTAATATATCTGAGAACAAATTTGATTTGATTACGATTGAATTACATGTACAGAAATATAAATAATAAACATCAAACTGAGCACATGGTGAAATGTAACATACGAGATACGATAACTTTGTAAAAATCGAGGTATTATTTTAAGATAAATATTTTTAACAAATATTTTTTACGAGGTGTTTTTTATAAGATATTTTTCACAAAAGCTTGTGGTATCAAATTCTCGAGGGAAGCAACGATTTTTCGGCGCTTAACGTAATTATCAATTTCAAACGCAATAGATAAACCGCACATAATCGCGTATACTCAGATACGGTATACGAATTGGTATTATCGCCTGAAGGCATGGGCGCGAGCCGGTAATATTATTACGCGTTTCACACAGGCTTTATTACAAAAGCAGAGTACCGTATCGCGTTCGCGAGTTTCGCTACATCGCCGGATTATTGTTCCTCTTTGGTGTTAATATCTCGTCGCGTTTGGTTGATCGTTGACGTGCAATAAGATTAAAGCGGATAGAATCAAAGTAATAAAAGCGAGCCCGCGGCTAATTGTATCATACTTTGGACGTTGCACGCGCCGCGAAACGGTTATATTATTGGTTAATTGCACGAGGAGGGGAGGAATATACATGCTACGCTATTACAGAGACAATCGCAGCTATCTAGTATCGGTTTATTGCATCTTTGATACTCTCGAAGCATATGTCTTCTATACGTGCAGCGATTCGAAAACCACCAATTACAGTTCATTAGACAAACGATGTAATAATACAATCGAGCAAATAACAAGGTAGACATTCGTGAATTGCAATATAATTGACTTTAGCGGTTTGGCTTTAGACAACGAACATT